GATTTCTACTCCTATATTTGATGCAAGTCATATACAAAATGGGGTTGTTTATAATATTCAATTCTTCAAGCTCTTCAGTATGGGTCATCTTTCCTGACATCATTTTCAAATGAAGATGATCATTCTTTTGGATCCTTTCTACTTAGGATAAATAGTCTCATTTAACTAACTTTATTTATATTTTACAAATTACATTTGAAAAGAAAGGACTTTACTCCTATAAGGATTAGTATAAAATAATTTATACATCACAATATATCTCAACACACATAACTACACATTGCTTCAAAGCACTAGAACATTTTCAAGAAACTTATAAATCTAGCCATACTTTTTATTTGTTTAGGTGGATATGCACCTATAAGCATTTATAAATATTTAAATTTTATTAGCCGTATTTTAATAGCCCTACATAAGCATGGATACTACATAAAATTGGATTAGTAATAAATGACTAGAATGCTCCTAACCTAGAGCATCTAATCATTCACCATAAAATCATTAATCATCATCACAAACATAGTCAAACATTAAATCCTAGCACACATTCATCTTCATCAATCAAACATGTAAAATAACAACACATACATAAAGTAAATTAACCAAAACAAAATAACACTCCTAGCCTACGACTAGAGTTGGTTGTCTTAACAAGCATGCTAAGTGTGTGTTAGCATGTGTAACTTAGCCACTTTATTTAATCTTTAATCTTTTCTTTTTTTAATGTTTGATTTATTTAATAACGAAAGGGAGGTTTATTAATTCAAATTTTAATTATTCACAATTTTTATTATTACTTTTAAATTTAGTTTTGAATTTCATGCTTATATTATTAAGAACTAATATGTTGAAAAGTTCAAAGTGCTATAAAACTCAACAAGCAATAAGTCCTAGGCAATCACGAATGAATTCACCTCATCCAAAATAATAAGAAAAATATAAGAGTATATTTTAAGGAATGTTTTAATTTAAGAACTTTTATTATTTTACGTGTGTTGATTATTATTTTTCTTTTAGAGATTTATTTCATTTTTAGCTTTAGATTTATTTTTATTTATTCCATATCCTATATAATTTATTTATTATTCAACTATATTTTATATTATGAGCTTAATGAATTTTCATACATATATTTTTATTCCGTTTAATAGGACCATATGAATTTAGGTTTAATATTTAATATACCAAATGAACTTCAAGCTTTATAATACATAAACCATAAGATGGGTTATAATTAACCCAAGATATAATTGATAAAAGTATAATGAAAATTTTGAAATTAAATTAAATTTTAAGGATTTATTTAAACAAAATTTACTTAATGTTTGACTTTATGTTTCACCTTAAATTTAACTTTGATTCTTATGATTCAATTTCATTTATTTTTTTTTATTCAGTTCTCTAATTTATTATGATTTCAATGTAATTGAAAAGATGCATATAACATTAAACAGAAAACTAGAAGCTATTACAAAGTAGAAAGAAACTACTAGGCACTCCCTTAAAAACAAAGCAAAATGAAGCCTTATTAAAGAGCAATTTAAGCCTAATGAAAATATTAGAAAAACATGTAATGAAAATGGTGGAGGGGATACCAAAGATAAAACAACCAAAATGGTTGATTAGTATCCCATAATTTTCAATTAAGTAAAAAATAAGAGATAGAATGATTCATAAATTCCATTAATCTAGTTCCTTTTTTTAAATACCAACCTATGCTTAAAATACATCTAGAAAAAACAAGAATACTAAACAAAATAAAAAAAATAAAAAGTAAGCAAGAGTAATTCGCCAAGAAATAAAATGTGATCTTGACGCCTCCACAAGTTATGTCCTCTTCAAGCTCCTGCACCTTCAACCAATCCACAAACGAGCTCCAGTTTCGCCAATCATTTCATGAGATAAATAATGAAGTGGCTCCAATACTGCCACCAATTAAGAATACCCAACTTCTTACCTCTAAGGCTCCCTTTAATAGGACCAAACAAATTCGAATCTTTGTTAAACTTTTACTTCTGACGAACCGATTTGGAAGGGAGTTGGAATTTTCCATCCTCAAATAAGGCTTCTCCACTATTCGCATTACCAATCTTGGACAAAAGAGAAATTGTAACCTATTTCAGATTTTCAGGATATTGAGAACTTAAAAAGATTTCAATGTAATTGACATAATAGTTTTAAGATTTTTATAAATTTATTTATGAATTTTCTAAATTGGGGTTATTGTAATTTTTTTTATTTGGGGTAATAGTAAAGGCTTTATATAAAAGGACAATTAGGGTTTGTTATTTAACATACCAAAGGTTTTCAAACTTCTATGAAATTTTAAACATATGTCAATGATGACCTAAGATGAAATTTATAAAATTTTGGAGATATTTAAATTAATGGTTAATTTTTAATTATTTCTTTATTAAAGTTGAATTGACCAAAACATGGATTCAACAAAAAACTGGAGAAGGATTTTATTTTATTTCATTAACCATTAAAATATGAGTATAATTCAATTTAATTCATATATTTTTTTTAATTTTCTACATTTATTTATGTATTTGTAAAATTTTATCGGCCATTATATAGGCTGATTTTAGGATTTGTAAATTGGATGCGCAAATGGGCTCAAATTTATATGAAATTAAATCCGCGAATCTCTTAAAATCTTAGAAAGTTTTTATAAAAAATTAGCCCAATTGGAGACTTCTAGAATTTTCTACAAATTTCCTAAACTGATTGACCCTAAACCTTAGAAATTTTACCTAGAACAATCTAGGGGTTAGATTATGGTGAAATCATAGGCTCTCTAACCCTCATGCATATACACACAATTCATGAAAATTCCATGCCCTAATCCTCTATGGATTCATGGTTATGGAATTTTGAACTCATAGGCCAAATATTACCCATAATCTTCAATATTCCATCAAGACCACAACAAGGTTTAAATTTTCTTGTGAAAAAATTAGGGATGCTAAGAATACCATGAGATTAAGTCAAGTCAAATTTGATGCCAATCCAAGAAGTATAACTAGGTTAACTAAAATAAACATCAATTTTAATATATGAAATCTTAAAATTTATATAGTATTCATCTAGACTTGAACATATGTTTAATATATAGAGCTGATCATGTTTTTATTTTTATTTTTATAGAGCTCATCATGTTGAATCCATAGAGGGTTTAAACACCACAAATGGCCCACTACATCAATAAGAATTGAAATTTAACTCAAGTTGTTTCTTAAGAATTAAATTCTATGCATATAAGTATGGTCAACATTCCTTTTAACACTTATAAGTTTAAGATCTATACTAATGTTTCATACCAAGATTTGGATTATGTTCTAATAATGCAAATGATAGAGTAGTAGCTTATGACTTTTAATATTTTATGATGAATAAGAACTAGTCTGCTCATAACTTAGAGCTAATTGTAATTATTTTTACATTGAAGATCTAAAAACACTATGTAGATGATGGTCCTTTTAAGACTTTAATTGATTAATTTGGAGTCAATTTGATATAGAAATTCACAAAAATAGGGTATGAGTAGTAATTTTGAGGTAAAAGTGTTTGTTGAGATCATTTTGGTTTTAGAATTTTTAACTTTGTAAATTCAGAAATCTACTTCTTATATATATATATATTATAAAAGTACGAGATTTTATAATGAAATTATGAGAAATTTGTCATATTATCAATCATTAATTGGATAACGTAATGCTTTATTGTTTTGCACGTTCATTTTTAAATATATATATATCATTAATTGCCTTCATACTGTAAAGTGTTTATGTATTCTCAATAATATTATTTTACGTATCATTTTAAATTATAAAAAGCATAATTTAGATGTATTCTAAATATGTTAATATTTTATTAAAATATTACGTTTGAGAAGTAAGATAACTTGAACTTTATAAGCTGCATATTGATGTATAATATTGTTTAGCCAATACAAAATAAATTATGTATGCATTTAATGACTAATGAACCTAAGTTCTTCAATAGTGATAATATTGAATTTCAACAAGGCGCTATTGAACTTTATGATGTAAATTTTAGGCTGAATTTTCAACCCAATGATATATGATGTTTTCTAATACAATTCATTTCCTTATAATGACTAATGAACCTAAACATGTATTTATGATAAATTCTAAGGTTAAAATAAAATATTTATTTAAGGCGGTAAATGAGGTAAATAAATAACTCGTTAAAAAAAAAAGGCTATTATGTTGACACATGTAATTTTGACTTGTATGTTGCATATTGTAATTGAACATTTGAACCTCTTATTTAAAAAAATTATTTAGCTAAATTATCTAACCTATTGTTATACAATTATTATGTAGATAAATCATATCTTGTTATAACATCAGCTTTAATATATCGATTATAAAATACCTATTAAATAGTTGTGACTAATATGTAGGATATGTATTCCAACTTATAATAGATATGTAGGCCAATCGATTACATAGCTAGGATAATAGATCTATAGATCGAATGACAACTGTTTTAAAAAAACAAATAGATTTTAAAGATTTGATGTTAACTTTCTCGATTTCAATACCATAGTATATACAATTATAAAGGTGAAATGACACCAGATTATTGAATCATTATTGAACGCGCCTGAAGTTTTCAGATATGAATATGATAGTAGGGAACCGAATTGCTTATATAATATTTTTGCAGACAATGAAAAATAATAATCAAATATAAATTATGATCCACCAAAGTTTAGGATGGTTGATGGCCGAGCACGATTCAAAACCCCCCATCATGGGTTTGAGTCCCCTCAACTACAGCCTTGTCTCTGTAATGGGGCAAAGTGGAGCCGATGCCGGTGGGTAGCCTCGCTAAATTCCATCGAGGGATTAGTTACGCCGCCAAGTGCTCCCTTTATAATAGCAGCGAGAAGATACCCCCGTTCCGAAAAAAAGTATATATATATAATAAAAGTATATATATAAACTGGTTCAGAAGATAAAACTATATAAATAAAAAAAAAAGTTTTATTAACTATGAATTATCACGAATGCATTGATATGACACTGATTAAATATAAACTTCATTCGAAATCATCTAAACATTTCACTCAGCAATAAGAACATACACAACAATAATAATCATTTAAGGTAAAAATTATCACATTTTCCTCCGCCAGAGAAGAAATGAGCCTCCGAAGTTTCTGATGATTTGCAACCATTGATGGCAACTCCAAGCATTAATGTCAACAAAGGCTTGGGTAGAATTCAGAAGACAATTTGAAGGAGCGAATGTCATCAATAACTTTTCCAAACTGATATTGTGTGTTGCCTTCTTCCTTCAGGTTGGAATTGCATCCCCATATATGAATTGCCAGTCTCCGACATTTCGGGGATGACGATACAAGGTATGTATTGTACCAGTTTATAACATCACTCTTCGAAATTGCTTTGAGTTCTTCAGCTTCTAGCTTTGGCCTGTCAAATTGATACCTGTATGGTATGCATGTATAATTTAGAAGAAGCCTTTTTTTTCAGATGAAAACAATTATAATAGCCAACAAGGAGATAAACAGCAATGAAATTGAACAGGAATTCAATCTACATTCCTATCAGCTAGACAAGAGCAACGCAAGAAGCACAACTGTTTTCTTTTTTATCTGCCAAAATTTGGACCTGCGACGTTCACCACCATAGATATCCTGTCAATACTATACAAATGGCCGTAAAGCATGAAAAATTCTATAGGATTGAGTATATCAAGAAAGTGCAATTTGGAGCCCAAACAATATTAAATGTCATTTTCTAAATTCTCCCTTACTTCCAGCAGACCCGCTTTTGTTTAAAACTCCACATTCACTTCATCATCTCATCTAGATTCTCAAACCTTCCTTCCATTGCCGACATGGCTCATTCAATGATCCCACATCCGTTTGAAGTTGCCCTACTTCCCTCTCCAATTTTTCTTCTAACGCCTCAACTCTTCTCCCGGCTATTGGTCCAAAAAACTTGCTATAATATCAATTTGATAGGATTTGATGATCAAAACAGCACACAACAATATAAAAACAACAAAATTACTCCGAATAAATCTAGAAATGACACCAAGGGGATGTAATTACTAATCTCCAAGTAAAAAAAAAATAAGATACAAGTTGATTTATTGTTCGAGAGGTGAATAGTCTCTCACACAATTCCTAGCAGCAATTAGGAACCCAATATAACCAAGAAAACTGTTCAAGAATTTGGGAGAGCCGGATCTTTCTCTCCAATTGAAAATCCAACTGTATGTTGTTTTTTTTTTCTTCTTTGTTCTTTCAATAAAAAAAAAAGAGTTCTTGTGTCTTCTTTCTAAATTTCTTATGTCGTTCTCTGGTTTTGCCGAAATTGCGTCCAGTTTGTATTAAATTGGTATCAGAGCATAGATCTGGGTAACTATGTAAAAAAAAGTTAAAAATATTGGAACGGGAGATTATACAATCGAAATCTAAAATTTTAGATTTTCAAGTCAAATTTCAGTCATCCATTAGAAGATTGATGAGAAATTTGTTATCATGGAGAAGATGTTGAGGAAGATGCTTCAAGTTCAAACCAAAATAAGAAGCCAGCATGTTACGAATATTTATCATGTATTTATGTTCAAATTTATTTTTTTAACTTAACAACTTAAAATCCCTCAGTTACCGCAAAGAATAGCAAATAATCCAGATGATTTTTATCAATAAACTGGGTTTAACTAGGGAATTTTTAGTTCGAGAGTATAATAAGGCCTCCTCCAAGATTTCAAATAAGAAGCCAGCATGTTACATCAACAGTTTTGTACCTCTGCTAATTGTGAGTGCTAAGAGCTAGCTGCTAAATTCATTTGAAATTTTATTAGCTCAATCCCTCAATGTGAGTGCTAAGATTTTTTGTTATTTGCTAAAATTTTCTTTCATCTTATGCAGATTTGGTTCCTGGAACATACTTCTTTTCATGCTCCTATGTATGCTGACAAAAGGCCTCATTTTCTATGATGGCTAATGATATTGTATATACTACAGAGGTGGTCACTAACTTATTTGTTAATATAAGGAAAAGTATGTCTTCCAGAGAGTTTCCCAAGCTAAAATTGATATGGTTAATGTCAAGAAATATCCATTAGACAGCCCTCCATCCCCTGATTCCCCTCAACAAATCACCCCCCCAATCTCCCATCATACCCCACCTCCTCAGCAAGACCCCCACCAAGCTCCTCTGCAAGACCCCCACCAATCTCCTCAGCAACAACACTTTAGTTTTTCTGCTGAAGCACTGTAATCTCTCCAAGAAAGAATTACCAAATCCTGCCAAGAAACATGCACAAAACTTTTTCTTGAATTTGAAGGTAGGCTGAGCTCAAAGTTTGAAAACCTAATTGAAAGAGTTGAAGTTATTGAGATCAAGCTCAATAATCACATTGATGAGAGCAAAATTTTTCCTCAGAAAAGATATGTTAGTTACTCTTCATCTTACAATAAGAAACATAAATTAGATATCCCTCCCCCCAGCCCCAATCAACCAATCCCCAAAAATGAGCGAATCCCCCAAAATGAGTCAATCCCCCTAAATAAGCCAATCTGAGCAGAAATGCAACTTATTCCATATACAAATCCAAATAAACCAATACCAGTAGATGACATTCATATAAATCCTATAACTCTTGTTTAAGCAAATGAAATAGAAAATTACAAAGGTCTTCTGAGTTTGAGTTCTGAGAAGAGAAATTTTGTGCATGAATGTTTGAAGAAGTTCAAACAAAGGTAAAAAAATGCAACTTATTTTATGTTTGAAAATTTGTATGCGTATGGTATGCGTGAGTTATGCGTATGGTATGCTTATGGTACGCGTATCTTATGCGTATTGTATGCTTATGATACCCATATGTTGTGCGTATGGTATGTTTATGAAATGCCTATTTAAATTTTTTTTTTCAGGGACGATAGTGTCTTGTTTGTTAGTAACCTTCTTATTTCTACAGCTGACATTGACGAGTTATTAACCGACAATTATTTAGGCAATAAACATGTAGATATTTTTGTCCTTTTATTAAATGAGAAGTGTAACCTTATGCCTGACAAGTACCATAAATTTCTATACATCTCTCCAGTCTATTGGATTAGTAACTTAGTATTCAATTAATCAGTTTAACTATAGTTAATGGCTTAATGCAAGTTTTAATATTTCTTTTCCATTACTTACATTTACTAGTTGCAATTGCAGAATATTAAAGGAATGGATAAATCGTCCAAATTGCAAATCGACCATATAACTGAACTTTTTATTACTTCAAACAACATTTTATTACAGCCAATCATTGAATCCTCGCACTGGACCCTTCTGGTTGGTTTGCTGAAAGAAGTTGAAAATTTTATGACTCGTTGCCATACAGCGTCAAAGAGCATAGGCTTGTTGTTCCAAAAATCGTAAGTGTTAGATGAACATGAAGTCATGAACTCTTCAATTCATGAATTCTTCTACTGCGAGTTGGGCTTCTATCTTCTCCGTTCGATCGGCGACCGCTTATGTCCGAGGCTGCCGTCTCCTCTGACTTGCATCAGGTCATAGAAAAGATTAGTAAGAACTCGTTCACTTTCTATTTTTGCTTTTGCTTAATCAGGATGGTCAGAAATAAGGATAAAGCTGCATCAGGTAATAGAAAAGATCCAGCATGGAAACATAGCACTCAGGTGGATGTAGGATGCAATGATAAAATATATGTCTATCTGAAATGCAATTACAGTGATAAACTTATGAAAGGTGGTGTGACTATGATGAAAGAACACCTTTCAGGTTCTTACAAGAATGTTGCTCCATGCTTTAAAGTTTCTGATACTGTAAGGGATGAGATAAAGTCATACATGAATAAGTGTACCATGTCAAAACATCTTACACAGAAGCAATTTGAGGACAGAGTTGATGTTGGATCTTACTACGGGAGTGAGCGTAGCGTTAGGGATTCGTCTTCTTCTATGAAGCCCATTTCATCTAGGAGTGCTAGAGGGCCTATGGATCATTATATGGTTTACACATCAGAGGATAGGCCTTCTGCTACACAAAAGATGGCCCCAGAAAATGCAAGGGAGGCACGGAGAAGAGTGTGTAAGGATATAGGCAAATTCTTCTACGAAAATGCAATTCCATTTAATGTTGCAACATCACCTGCTTATTACAACAAGAATCATTTAGTTGGATCATTTGGGAGAAAGTTCAAACCTCCAATCATGTATAATTTAAGAATATGGATTTTGAAAGAGTTGGAAAGCACTGATGAAAGCATCGAAGAAATTAAGAAGACTTAGGCCTAAACATTTGTAACAATTATGTCAGATGGGTGGTCTGATATCTATGTCTGATCAGCATCCTCATTAATAATCCTTATGGTACTGTGTTTTTACGGTCAATTGAAACATCTGACCAGGTCAAAGATACTGAGTTCATATTTGGATTATTAGATAGCAGTATTGATGAGGTTGGATAACATTTAGTTATACAAATTGTAACAGATAATGCAAGTTCTTATAAGGCTGCAGGTAATAAACTTATGGAGAAGAGGAAACATCTGTACTGGACTCCATGTGCTGCACATTGCATAGATCTGATTCTTAAAAAGCTTGGGGAGCTACCTCAACATAAAAATGCACTCACTAAAGCCAAAAAAATAACCAAGTTTATTTACAACCACTCTTGGGTTCTAGATCTTATGAGAAAATTTTCGAAAAAAGAAATTCTAAGGCCAGCAACAATAAGATTTGCCACCGCTTGCTTGACCTTAGAGAGCATGCTGGATGCTAGGCAACCTTTAGAGGCTATGTTCACATCTACACAGTGGTTGAATTATGCTTGGGCAAAGAAGGCTGAGAGAAAAGAGATTAGAAAGATTTTAAATTGGCAAAGTATCTTATATGCCATTACAACCACTAGACCTTTAGTTCATGTTTTAAGGATGGTGGATGCTGAGAAGAAACCTGCAATGGGTTTCATCTACAATGACATGGATGAAGCCAAAGAGATGATTTCCTCCAACTTAGGAGGCAGTGAGGGAAGCTTTAGAGAAATTTGGAATATTATTGATGATAGGTGGGAACTACAGCTTCACCGACACTTGCATGCCGCTGGCTGCTACCTAAACCCTCAGTATCAATATGCAGAGAATAAGTCTACAAACCCTGAAATAAAGTTGGGATTGTATCATTGCATAGATCGTCTAATAAGTGATGCAACTAAAAGATCAAATGCTGACATGCAATTGGTAACTTTTAGGAACAAAGAAGATTTTTTTGGATTACAAGCAAAAGATACAATTGCCAAACGATCTCCAGTTGAGTGGTGGATTCAATTTGGTGATGGGACTCTACAATTACAGCGTTTTGCTATGAAAGTTTTGGGCTTGACATGTTCTTCATCTGGCTGTGAAAGAAATTGGAGTACCTACAACCAAGTGCATACAAAGAGGAGAAATTTCTTGTCGACAT